CAAGGCCATGCCCAGAGCAGGTGCCAACATCCTAAGACGAGCAGGGAGAATTCAGGGCAGAAATCTGGCCCCCACTGTGTGACCTTGGGCAGGTCCCTAACCCTCTCTGAGCCTCGGTTTCTTCATCTATAGTGAAGAATCGTCTGGACCTGACAGTGGCTGAGTCCCTGTCTAGCTGTGACATCAAGGGGACCATAAAATAAATTCTATGGAGGGTTCCAGCTTAACCTGCCACCACGCAGGAGGGTGCAGAGGAGCCCGCCAGGGCATGGCCAGGACGAGCCCTGTCCAAGAGGGCATCTGAGAAACATTGCAAAGAGGCTATTCGGCTCCCAAGCCGAGGCCGGTGGCAGCCTCACCACCCGAGATGGAAAGACGTATGTTGACTCCCCATTCCCCGACGGAAACTGACATTTGGTCCCAAAACACATTTTGAGCCTGTTTCCCTCATCCCGTTCCCACAATCATCCAGACACAATCACCTAAAACAGCACAATCCTCACACCAACCCGCAGCATGATTATGCCCCGTTTTACTGATGAGGAACCTGATGCACAGAGAGATTAAGCTCCCTCCCCAAGGGCACATAGCAGCAAGCAGGAAAATAAGGTCCCTCAAACACTTCAATCCCTGGGGCTGACACATGCAGGAGGCCCGACGTTGACACACTGCCCAGCTGGCTCAGTCATCGCCCCTGTATCTTTGTGGGCAGTTATCTTAGGCCAGGCCCTGGATCAGGTACCAGGGGTGGCAAGTGGACAAAACAGACATGGGATCCAACACCAGGGTGCTCCCAGGGTCACAGGGCAGAGACCTTCAGTGAGCAAGACCGTCAGCGAGTACACAGTGACAAACTAACCCATGCTAAGGGAAGCTAGGGCTACAGGGTGTACAAAGGGGGCCTCTGAGGGGCCCTGCTGAGACTGGGGGGCCTGGCCTCCAGCTCTAAGAGCCCCTGGGATTCATGTGGCTGTGACCATGCAGCAGATGTCGGCAGTGTCCCCAACAGGCACAGAGCCACGGGAGGCTACGCACGCCTGGCCCCAGCCCTCTGGTAAGCAGGTCACCACAAAGCCTTGAGCACACCCCACCATCAGGCAACCCCATTATCAGCATCCCTGAGAATTAAGTCTCTGCAG